TCGCTCCCCCCCCCCCCCCCCAAATAAACAATAGTATCCTCTTAGTCCGTACCAACGATCGGCCCATGCGGGATGGCATACTTCTTCAAGCGGGCGATCAGTTCCTTATCTGTTAGCCCGCCGTACTCGTCCATGATGCAGCCTAGAAAAAGGCAAGAAGAAAAAGAGTCACTGGCCGTTCTCTCCCTTCCGTGATCTCCAACCTAAGTATATTAAGCTTAAAGATGTCGCGTGATCACATCAGCAAGCCGAACAAGCGCCCTTGAAGCCAAATGGCAAGCTATCAACAAGCCAGGTTGCCACTGGTTCTCTGTAAAGAAATCACAACACTAGGGTGTGACCTCACTGTAATGAAATGTGCAAAGACCCAGGCAGGCTCTCACCAACCCAGCTACAAAGGTGACATGGAATTCTGGTCTCAGTCCATTACAGAGTCTCAGTCCAGTACTGAGGACAAGAAACTGTACAGGGAGTGTGACATGGGTGATAATTAAAAATAGAGAAGAAGAAGAAGAGGAGGAGGAGGAGGAGATTGGATTTATACCCCACCCTTCACTCAGAGTAGCTTACAATCTCCTTTCCCTTCCCCTCCCCACAACAGACATCCTGTGAGCAAAGTTCCCTCTAAGCTGTGGAGTCTTGTGAGCAAAAATTCTACTTTGTGAGCTACTGGCATTAAAGTTGTGAGCGAGCAATTTGGCTACTGCATTAAATTAGTTTGGTCCAGAGCCATCCTTCCTGAGCTAAGACCAAAATGTCTGAGCCGGAGGCTAAAAAACTGTGAGCTAGCTCACACTAACTCAGCTTAGAGGGAACACTGCCTGTGAGGTAGGTGGGGCTGAGAGAACTCTTTCCACAACTGATCTTTCAAGAACAGCTCTGACAGAACTATGGCTTGCCCAAGGTCATCCAGCAGCTGCAAGTGGGGGAGTGGGGAATCAAACCTGGTTCTCCCAGATTAGAGTCCACGCACTTAACCACGACACCAAACTCTTACTATTGTCCCAAGTATGAGACAGAATTTTTTTAAACAAAGGGATTGAGTCCAAAATTGCCTAACTGAGAGCTGTTTTTGCTTCCTGCAAACTGGCAAGTGGCCATCAGTGGATTGGGCAGGGCTGGGCAGTGCAGATACAACTCAGTCCCTTTTTGATACGGCAACCGTACACAGATTGCCAAAGTACACAGGAGGAGCATACGATTTCCTAAAGTGCTTGCCAAGTGGGAGAAAGAGGCCTGATATTGGCTTATACTGCAGCTGAATTTTTGAAGCCTTTCTTCCACCCAGACAGCCCTCCTCTGACGGAAGGGGCTTGAAGAAGCATTATGTCCATTAACAGAAGCATCGTGTCCAGATCACGGGAGGTGGTCGTTCCGCTCTATTCTGCTGTGGTCAGGCCTCACCTGGAGTCCTGTGTCCAGCTTTGGGCACCACATTTGAGGAAGGACGCTGACAAGCGTGAGCGTGTCCAGAAGAGGGCAACCAGGATGGTGAGAGGGTTGGAATCCAAGTCTTACGAGGAAAGGCTGAAAGACTTGGGTATGCTTAGCCTGGGAAAGAGAAGGCTTAGAGGGGACACGATTGCAGTCTTCAAATATTTGATGGGCTGTCATGTAGAAGACGGAGCAGGTCTATTCTCTCTTGCTCCAGATTGCAAGACTAGATCGAATGGGTGGAAATTACAAGGGAGTCGATACCGGCTAAATATCAGGAGAAACTTCCTGACTGTAAGAGTGGTTGAGCAGTGGAACAGACTGCCTCAGGAGGTGGCGGGTGCTCCTTCGCTGGACGTTTGCAAGCGGAGGCTGGACGGCCATCTTTCGGGTATGTTGTGGGGCTATCTTTTGGCTATGCTCCTGCAGAGTGCAGGGGGTTGGGCTAGATGACCTGCAAGGTCCCTCCCAACTCTAACATTCTCTGATTCTATGAAGAAAGGATCTACAGGCTGGCAGATACAGAGCAATCCTGTGTCAGGCTGAGTAAACGTTTCGAATTCAAGTCACCTGTGAGACTGAGGGCCTTTGGGTTGGTTGTTTTTTTTTATCAGCCTCGCTTCCAGTTCCTGCTAAATTGGGAGTGTCGCAGGAGAAGTGAAAGTATCAAATCTGCTTTTTCGTTTTCGTCCTTCGGCTGGGGGAAGAGTCCCACAGAAGAAAAAAGATTCAGCTTACAGAGACGGAGGAGAGAGCCCGAGGAAGCAACGCCTTTTAATTCCTCGCTGGACACTCCGCTACTAGCTTACGCAGTGGATCCATGATGGACCACACAAAGAAATGAAGCTGCCTTATACTGAATGAGACCGTCAGTCCATCAAGGTCAGTCTTGTCTACTCGGACTGGCAGCTGCTCTCCAGGGTCTCAGGATGAGGTCTTTCACGTCATCTCCTGACTGGTCCTTTTAACTGGAGAGGCTGGGGATTGAACCTGGGACCTCGTGTTCTACCACTGAGCCACGGCCCCTCCCTAAATGCCTTATACCGACCCAGACCCTGGGTCCATCAAGGTCAGTATCGTCTACTCAGACTAGCAGCCGCTCTCCAGGATCTCAGGCAGCATTCTTTCACATCATCTAGTCCTTTTAGCTGGAGATGCCAGGGACTAGAGATGTAAAATTTCCGGACATTTTGAAGCTCGGAAAAAAAAACGGGTTTTTTTCCTGTTTTTTTCAGAAAAACCCAGAAATTTTTGGAAAAATTGGGGAAAATGCTACATTAGCACTTCTTTTGTCTTTTCCAGATTGAAAGTCATTCTGTTACTTTAGGAACATAAAATATGACTATGGACATTTTTACTTGGCATGAAATTATCACAACTAGCCTATTAAAAATATACTGTATCCAAACAATTATTACCAACAGAATGCCCACCCACATGCAAAAACAAAACTGAAACCTTTTAATTTTCTTCTGACAATCGCACCTCCTAAAGGAAGAAATGCATCTTGTTCTTGCATTGGAGAGTTCAGTTTGTAACCTAGGACTTGCTTGTCCTCAGTGCACAGAAATTAGATCAATCTGATACCCCCCCACACACACATATATAAGAAATGATTTGGAAAATATTTGAACACCTTGTCTTAAAATATTTTATTCATCATGTTAAAATAAAACGTTCCATAATCAATTTTTTCCCTTTCCTTTTCTTTTTTCAATTTTTCGGGAAAAAACAAAAAAAGCTTCAGGGGAAAAAAAGGAAAAACCCGTTTCCCCCCCGAATTTTTCCGGTTTTTTTCCGGGCCTTCACATCTCTACCAGGGACTGAACCTGGGACCTTCTGCATTCAAAGCAGATGCTCTGCCACTGACTGGATGCTCTGCCTCTGCTGATGGAGCTAGGGATCCGTGATAGATCCCTGCTGGATTTCAGGGGATTTAGGCCGGGGATCTTCAACCATTTTCTGCTTTGTTTAACATACATCTAATACTTGTTTATGTAATCCTAGTTCTGTTACATTGCTTATTAAACCTCTCATTCTACTGATTGTAGTGACTTACACTGTGCAATTCACCCTGAGTCTCAGCAAGACGATCCAATAAAGAGATAAACAGATTTTCCCAGACCTAGGATCCACCTATAACTCCCAGGCAGCAACATGGAGTGCACAGAGCAGCAAGCACGTGACAGGAAGAGGAGGAGCCAGAGTGATGACGGCAATGGCATTAAGGCTTGGACTGAGATCAGCTGTGGACAGGAAGGCAAGCCAAGCGCCCAGAGGGGTCACGTAGGAGTAGCAAAGGGTCACAGCCACAGAGACGGAGGTAGGAGCCAAACTGAAAGAACAGAGACCTGAAGAGGTGAACCTGGGGCCTTCTGCATGCCAAGCAGAGGCTCTGGTGCTGAGCCAGCGTCTCATTTCAAGGTCTTTCATATCACCCTCTGACTAGGTTTTCAAGGCATGAAACATTCAGAGCTGCTTTTGCCATTGCCTGCTTCCGCATCACGACCCTGGCATTCCTTGGTGGTCTCCCTTCCAAGTATTAACCAGGGCTGACCCCAATTAGCTTAGAAGACCTGATGCGATTGGGCAAGCCTGGGCTGTCCCAAGGTCAGGGCAGTCCCTCATTCCTCCTCTCACGAAATTGTGCCATTTCCTTTACAACACCTGTACGCAAGTCACCTTCCCTCTTGGAAATGCTCTGCACATTATGTGCACCCTTTGTCACATGCTGCTTGGTGCTTCTTTCCCACACAAATCAGGGCTGTCCCTCATTCCACTACTCATGAAAGGGTACCATTTCCTTTACAACGCCTGGATGCAAGTCACCTTCCCTCTTGGAAATGCTCTGCACATTATGTGCACCCATTATCATGCTGCAGCTTGGTACTTCTTTCACATACAGGTCAGGGTGGTCCCTCATTCCACCTCTCACGAAAGGGTGCCATTTCCTTTACAACTCCTGGATGCAAGTCACCTTCCCTCTTGGAAATGCTCTGCACATTATGCGCACCCATTATCATGCTGCAGCTTGGTACTTCTTTCGCATACAGGTCAGAGTGGTCCCTTATTCCACCTCTCACGAAAAGTGTACCATTTCCTTAACAACTCCTGGATGCAAGTCACCTTCCCTCTTAGAAATGCTCTGCACATTATGCACACCAATTATCATGCTGCAGCTTGGTACTTCTTTCGCATACAGGTCAGGGCGGTCCCTCATTCCACCTCTCACAAAAGTGTGCCATTTCCTTTACAACGCCTGGATGCAAGTCACCTTCCCTCTTGGAAATGCTCTGCACATTATGCGCACCCATTATCATGCTGCAGCTTGGTACTTCTTTCACATACAGGTCAGGGCGGTCCCTCGTTCCACCTCTCACAAAAGTGTGCCATTTCCTTAACAACTCCTGGATGCAAGACATCTTCCCTCTTGGAAATGCTCTGCACATTATGCACCCCCTTTATTAGGCTGCTTGGTGCTTCTTTCGCATACAGCCAGGAGTGGAGGATGTGTTCCACAACCAAGGGGGACCCTCTGCAGAAAGACTGAACACCAGTTGGCCCACAGGGGAAAAAAACCCAATCCGGGCTGTGGCCTCTCTCTCGCCCTCTCCAGAGACACTAAAACAGCATACGCCATGCTCTGACCGCCATGCTCACACACTTTTTCTTTCATGAGAGCTACTTCCAAGCAGCCCTGAGCCTGGA